AGATGAAGCAAAACAAACCAAGCAAAACAGCATTTAAATTCAAAAAGTGAAACTACACAAAAATGAAAAAGCTGGTTAAATAGACAATAAAAGACAGTCGCAAGAGAGTCAAATGCCTTCAAACTGCATGGAGACTATTTAAAAACACCATAACAGAGGCTGACACTTAATGTGTACTTCAAATTAAAAAATAAACTAAGAACCACAAAAATGCCACAATGGATAAACAGCAACACAAAAGAGGAAAAGGAGGCCAAAAGGCATCCTTTAAAAACTGAAAATTAAACCCCTTGTGAGGCAATCAGAAAAGAGAATAAACTGACAAGTTAGGTGTAGGAAATACAGTAAAGCAGGCAAGAAAGAATTTGAATAGCAATTTGAATAGCAAGAAAAAAAACTAATTTCTTTTAAGGATATCAGAAGCAGGAAGTCCAACATCTCAACCATCCAGTGGCCCCACAACACGCAAGTAAGACCAGACTGGTGGAGAAACTAAATTAATTCTTTGCATTATTCTTCATTATGAAGAATATGGGATAAAATGCACATCTGAGACATTCTTGTTCGGTGATGCATTTGATGAACTATTCCCCACAGAAGTGTCAATAGAGGTGGTTTTGGAACAAACTGATTAAACAGTAATGAGTCACAAGGACCAGATGGCATTTACCCAAGAATTTAGAAGACTCAGATATGAAACTGCAAAACTAACTGTAACCTATCAATTAAATCAGGTTTTGCACCAGGAGGAGAGTTAACGTAACACTGATTTAATAAAAAAAAAAAAAAGGTTCCAGGTGTGACTTGGTTATTGCTAAATTTCAGTACTAGGCAAATAGATAGAAACTATGGGAAAGAACAGAATTATCAGAGACACAGATGAACACCAATTATTGGGAAAGAGCCAACACGTTTGGGTTTTTTTTAAGTGGAAATAATCTTATCATCAGTCTATTAAAAATACTTTGAGGGAGTGGACAACCATTGAGCCAGATGATACAAAGCAAAACTAAATAACCTAAGTAGTCATTAGGTAAAAAGGGAAGTTCTTCTCATAGATCAGTAATTAATTTGTTAAAATGACAGGCTACTCTTTATTTACTATTCTCGCAATGGAGCAAGAGTAACAGCGAGGTTCCCTAAGAATGTGTTCTGGATCAATGCAGTTCAACATTTTTTTTTTCTTTATAAATTATCAGGAAAATAACATTTTCAGCTATCAATTTAGAAGATTGGATGGCTAAAAGTTAGCAACTACCTTGAATCGTACTTAGCCATCCAATCTTCCTCCTAAATTGCTAGCTGAAAACTTTATTTTTAGTCTTTTGGTGCACTTTTAGAAAGATTGTCTTTTTTAAAAGTTTATATAAAATTTTATAGTTTTGCCTTTTTGGTCTTAAGTGTAGTGTGTTTCCACTAGTCAAAACTGTAAGGTTCTTGCCTGCCCACCGCTCGGGGGCAGCAGGAAAGAGCTGCCCATCCCGGCTCGCGGGCCACTCAGCATCCACACCGGTGCTGTCCTCCGTCTCCTCTCCCCATGCTCTGATGGCTCAGTCCCCTTCATCCCCTTTCCCTCCACTATGCGGGCTCACCTCCCGCTGTCTCCACTCCTCTTTGTGTGGCGCTACACTGAGCTAAGCCATATTGGCGCGTGCAAAGGAGTGGTAAATTGAAAATCCCATGACAGACAGACAAGAATAGTGGCCACTTAACAGAAAGACTGTCTAAAAAATGGCAAACAGTGGCAAAATTTGTAGAGGATACAGAATTACTCATTCAATTTACTTAAATACATAAAATTAGGTGATAAAAAGGCAGATGAAATTCAGTGTTGATAAGTGTGAAGTAATGCACATTAGAGAACATAATTTTAACTATGTACAAAATGACCATGTCTAAATTAGCAGTAAGCACCCAAGATCTTGGAATCATTCTGGATTAGTTCTCTGAAAACATCTACTCAATGTGCAGCAGTAGTCAAAAAAGCTAAGAGTGTTAGAAACAATTAGGAAAAGGATAGAATCATGCAAAATTGCCCTGTTCTGTTCATTTCCTCTCCTCTGAAGCATCTAGCACTGGCCACTTTATCAGAGACAGGATACTAGCCTAGATGTATCTTTGGCAGTATTGGGTATTTCAACAAAAATATTTAAGCACTGGAAGAATTGTTTTATGAAGTAAGATTAAATGTGGCTTGGCTAAGTGAGGATTTAGAGCAGAATAATGGTTTACAAGTATCTGAAGGCTGAAATACTTTAGGGTTTCACAATAGATGGCAACTAGGGATAATGTGTTTGAAATTAACAGAAAATGAAGCGCAAAAGAGGAGAAGAAAATTGACAATGAGGTGTGTTAGACTGAAATAGCCTCTCAAGCAAAGTGGTAGGAGGACTAGAAATTTAGATAAAGCTCTACTCAATGTAGCATACAGAACAGTTTTGAAGGCTGAAATACTTTAGGGTTTCACAATAGATGGCAACTAGGGATAATGTGTTTGAAATTAACAGAAAATGAAGCGCAAAAGAGGAGAAGAAAATTGACAATGAGGTGTGTTAGACTGAAATAGCCTCTCAAGCAAAGTGGTAGGAGGACTAGAAATTTAGATAAAGCTCTACTCAATGTAGCATACAGAACAGTTT